TTATAGTCATGTAGACCTTTGAAAAAGTCTGTGCAGGTTTTTGGAGCCCACGAAGTATTTATTAATTAATATATTTTTATTCCCCCTTTATTATTTTATGAGTAACTCAAGGCGGTGAATATACCTAATACACCTTCCTCTTCCTATTATTCCCACAACAACAACCCAGTGAGGTTAGTTGAGTATTGCAAGAGAAGAGAGGAGCCAGCAAAATACTTCCATCTGCCGAATGCTTTAGTTGGATGAAATAAAATATTTTTTATGGATATTAGGAAATCTTTCATTTGCAGAACAGGAAGTCTGGATCCAGTCCTTTAAAAACAGTCACTGTGGGTTCTTAATTTTTTTTTAAAGTCATATAACAAGGTTAAAGGGTTTGTGGCTGTGAACATATTAGTAGAAGAACTTTGTTCTGCTTAAGGCGAGACTTTGTAATAGGAAATCTCTAGTCTCTGAAATTAGAACAATATTGGGGAAATTAAATTCTTGAAATGTTACTTAGAAAACAAATTTAGATTGGTGTAAGAAAGACTATAAAATGTTAATTCCAGGTACATAATTTTAAGAAAGAATAGAGAACAGGAGAAAAATATTATATTGGCTTTAATCCTGAGATATTCTGGCAAGAAAGAAAGCTGAATACGAGTACAGCAAAGCTAAAGCTCAGTTAGCATGAATCATAATAACCAGAAAAAGCTGAAGGTGATGCATTTACTAAACTATTAACAGGTACAGTGGCTTATAAACATGTGACCACCTCCATCTAATTAATGCCAAAAAAAGGATCCAGAATTGAAAACTGTCATAAACTGATGAAAGCATTTCAAAAGCAGGACAAGAATCTGCTTGTCTTCAGGTGTATATTTATGTATTAGATATACAAATATAATTACGCATTATTAGATACTACTATCAAAAGTCCATTTATAAAACAAAAACTAAGAATATCCAAACACTACCAAAAAACCCTGCATTAATCAAAAAAGGTTAACTAAAAACACAATCCAATAAAAAATACAGCACTCATAATGCTGATGGTCATTGTGGCTGGCCAATATCATTATAGAATTGAGTGGTCTTATGCATTTTTAAATTAAATAAAAGCACAACACAACAAACTTGTCGTCTTGGCTCGTAGGAGGATATATTGTGTGTATATATGTGCATTTTAAATTAGAATTATTAGCCTTTGCAGGCTTTCACTGTATCTGTGTGGCACTTTCCTTATAGGCTTTTTTTAAATAAAAAAAACCTGCTCTGTTATTTATGCCCTAAACAAGTATTTATTTACTTGTTTAGGGCAGCTGACAAACTGGGAGAAATCATTTGTACTTCTCTTAATACTGACAACTGTTAATTCAAATATATATCAAAATGAAAATTGGCTAAATTGAAAAAGCAGGTATTGTTTTTTCCTCAAGATTTTTGTTACACTATAATGGTTTGTGTCTAAATGAGTGCTAAGCAACAATTTTTTTAGCCAACAGCTGTGGTAATATTTTTAGGAGAGACCATAAAATGATGGAATGAGTCCATATTATACAGGTTGAACTTCTAAGCCTCTCTCTCTCTTTCCATCTCCCTACCTGCCTACTGTCTGTCTGTCTGTCTGTCTATCTCCTTGTGCCCTAGTGCAAAATGAGAAGTAACAGCTATCCGTTTTCAGCAATAAAAGAGATGGACTTCTAGGGCCACCCAGGAGACCAGATTTTCCATCTCTGATCTAAATCAGGAGTCTCCAACCTTGAGAAGTTTAAGACTTGTGGACTTCAACTCCTAGCAAAGCTGGCTGAGGAATTCTGGGAGTTGAAGTCCAAAAGTCTTAAACTTCTCAAGGTTGGAGACCCCTGATCTAAATGATAGCAAGACCTGTGCAGGCTTCCTGAGGGAGATCATGCTTAAAGAAAATGCACTGAAAAGTTTCTAGTTATAGGTAGTTCTCGTTTAGCAACTACCTCGTTTAGTGACTCTTCACATTTGCAGTGATGACAAAAGAGTAACTTTACCATCAGTTCTTGAGTATGCAACTTTCATAGGTCTGTAAAGCAAAGGAAAGCTGAAGTGAGGTCATTAGCACAATTGTGATTTCACTTAGCAACTGCTTTACTTAATGATTGAGTTTTCAGATCCAAATGAGTTATGATTGCTAAATGGGAACTACATGTGTTATCTAAGATGTGTAGGTAAGGCATAAGTGATGATATAATAGTCTGTGGGTACTACATTCTGTATATTGAAAAGCATTACAAAAATTATTCAAGAAGTGTCACTGATCAGACAATGTGTTTCTTATATCTTTGGCTCTGCCTACTGATACTGCAATCTAATTAATTGATCTACATTGCATTTTCTAGCTTTTTTCCCACAACATAACATCCTTTTGTCTTTATACTTTAAGCAACTAAACCTGTCTCCACCTGATGAAAATAATATTATGGTAAATGTCTCTTACATGCTCAACTTGCTGCATGTAAAATGGCTGAAGGTTTGTTGGCCTCTTGTCTTCATAACATTTCCCTCAGGTGTTTCCTCTTGCTTTCCTGCTGATCAGTATTATTTATTTAGATGAAGAACCCCATCAGTTGGCATATCTAACCCCAGTGGGGTGTGGAGGTGAAGATGTATCTGAAAGAGCAGTTTGCTAATTGAAAAAAAACTAATCATTTAAATAATTTTATTGTGTTTCTTGTCCTTCTAAGTTGCTGAATATATTTAGGAAATAATATATGCGCATGCAAGACTCCCCATTGTACTATTAACCTTTAGGGTGAGCAGCAGTATTTGGAGTAGTGGTCCCCAACATTTCTGGCGCCAGGGACCGGTTTTGTGGAAGACAATTTTTCCACAGACTGAGGAGAGTGGATGGTTTCATGTGCAACCTAGATCCCATTAGTGCAGATAAAGTTTTGCTTCCTCACCCATTGCTTGTATGACCCGGTTCTCAACCGGCCACGGACCGGTACCTGGCCACGGCCCAGAGATTGGGGACCCCTGATTTAGAGCATAGAAAATGGGTAAGAAAGAGTAAGTTAGGAAAGGTACAAAATAAAAAAGAAAGACATATTATTAGTACTAGTGTTAGTATTATTTGATTTTTACCCATCTCTATAGGTGACTCAAGGCAGTGATATAATACTCCTTCCTTCTTATTTCCCCACAACAATGACCCTGCGAGGTGGCCTTGGGTAGCACCATTCATTATATTTTTTCCATATCTGGAAAAGCATTCTGGCTTATACCACTTTTATACTACTCCATGTATTCCCTTTTTCTTTTTAAACTTGCCTCCCTTTTTTTTAGGAACTCATCAACTCTATCCTACACATTACTTGATTTTCCTCTTCCCCATTCATTCTACTTTTATAAATTCCTGTTGCATTTTCTACAACTACATAACCCCAACATACATATTTTATACTTGTCATTTGCATTTATATTAAATCCATATTCACTAAGCACCCATTCATTTTTTTTTTAATTGTCTACTTATTTTACCACATATACTGGTTCGGTATTTCAACCCCCCTGCCATTTTTATGTTTTTCTGATATCTCCCAACTTTTACTTTCATCTAGCAAAGTGGGCAAAAGCATCCAAGGATCTATAGCCATCTTCACTTCTTTCAACAAACATTCATTCCTCACGTCAGACCTCATATATTTTTTTTATTTAGTAATTAATTATTTAATAGAGGTGGGAACCAAATAGAGAAATATTAAGATGCGCTTATAGAAAGAGGGCGGGTGGCTTATGGTCTGTTATGAGGGATGAATGTTTGTTGAAAGAAATGAAAATGGTAGACACTGGCAGAATGTACATAGTTTTATCAGCTTGAAGTTTGCCATTTAAGTTCACCTATGCAAATATTCACTCCATTTTCCTTTTCAAAACGCAACTTATTTTGACAACTAATTTTCCTGTCCATATTCCTGATTGTGTCATGTAGTCTAACATTTGCTGCATATTCAATTTTAACACTCTTGTGCTTTTGGCATTAACTTGTGCTTTATTTCCATTTCTATACATGAACATTACCTTTCTTCCAATAATCAATTACAGAGTCAATCTTCACACACATTAAACATGTCACATGGCCACTTCATAAGCACACCTTAACATTTCTTCAGCTACATCAGGGGAGTCAAACTCGCGGCCCGCGGGATGAATGCATCACGCACTGGCCACCTCCACCCCCAGTTTAGCGAAGGTGAAAAAAATTGTGATCTGTCACATGATGACAACATGACATCGTACATTTGACACCTGTGAGCTGCATCTTCTAGACATAAGGGTTTATCATGTTTCATCATTCTCACAGCACATGAGTTTCTTTCTTACATATCAGCATTTAGGAAAATGAATTTATAACATTCAATCCCAGTCCTCAAGAGATTGGTATCCTGTTACTTCCTTACTATAGGAGTACTCCTTTTGTTCTTCAAAATTAAAGTGAAGTTCCGTTCATTTCTGAATGATCTGTCTGTCTTGTCAACACCATCAACCCCTTTTTCTGGTTTAAAAATACTTGTGCTTTTCTTCCTTTGTTCCTTAGGAATCTTTTTATCTGCCCCTAACATGAATAGGTGGGGAAGAGATAGAGTGGCATACTCAGTTAACATTTAAACAAATGTATGAATTTCAGTAAATAAGTTAAAAATGGGCTATAAAGAGTTTAATTTAATATCATAGTAGTCCATCAACACTTATCTTTCCTAGCACTAAATAAATTCATAATTCTGTGAGTAGACTAGGACTCTGAGCTTCTCTCAAATCTATCTTTTCATCCAAATCTTCCAAATCCATCTTTTCTATACCAGTGGTTCCCAACCTTTTGGACAACAGAGACCAGTTCTGTGGTTTTTCCGCAGACTAGAAGGAACATGGTTTTGCATGCTGCCTGCATCCCGTGGATGGGGCTTCGCTTGTCTTCATGGCCTATAGTATAAACTGGAAAGAGATGTCCTACATGATTATATTTTGATTGGCAATTTCATTATCTAATTATCATGGCTAGCAGTATTCCAGCGTTAATCGTCTCACTTTAATTTCAAATAAATCATCACTTTCGTTTATATTTCCATTCACTTAGTGTTTTCACTACATCTTTATAAAGTTACAATTTCTACATAAGAAACTGTTCGCTCTACTGAAATTTCAAATAGACTTTAAAATACTGTAATGGAAGCTTTTGATGTATATATATTTTCACAGGAATCTTTTAGAACAGAATTACGGTACTTAAAATGTACTATACTAATTTTTAAAAGACATAATACTGTAATTGTGAGCGCTAGCAATTTGAATATTGTATTGTCTTTAATGCATAAAAATTACAATAAGTGGGTCCTTTTTGGTAAATCATTTGGTTGGCCTAAATTATTGAAATGTCAAAGACAGGCTTGGATAGCAAGAGAAATCACTTACTATTCCATTATTGTTTGTAGTAGTTGTATTTTGAATAGATTTGGCTCGTATAAGCCATTTTTCAAAATAAATGTCATCCATTTGGTCATAATTCTGTCAATTGCTATTTACATTGTATTCTTTTTATTGCTTTCTAAGATATAGGGTAATCTTAACACTTAAGACTATTCTTTTGACACATTTAATTCATTGGATCCAGAAGTCTATAAGAGGGTACAATACTCAAGAGAAATGAGGCATTTTCTCTCTATGTATGTACAGCCTCCTAGTATTGAGCATTATAGAGGAGTCCAGAGACATCTGGCAAGAAAGAAAATAAATCTCCACTGAATCAAAGCCCAAAGGGACCTTTTTTCTTTCCTACAAAAGCCACTCTGGATCCAAAAACTGAACATCTATTTAAAAAATACCCTATTTGTTTTAAGCTGCTGACAGAATGTTGAAGATTCCTGTTTCCACATTTTCCTTTCCTACAAATTGATTTTAGACTACTATGAGGAAAATTGTTGCATAAAAGTCTTATCTGGCAGTAAAAACATAATAGTACATGGATATTATAAATAAGGATAATGATGATGATAATTTTGGCAAATCAGCCTGTAAGAATCTACACTAGTAATAGCCCTTTCAACTATAACAATATTCAGTAGAATAAACTTCAACTAATATCAAGCTATGGTCATTACATTGTAAAATAAATTCATGAAATGATCACTAATTCATACCAGGAGAAAAATGAACATTGAGGAAAACGTAGCAATATAAATTCTTATTGTTTCTTTACATCTTTATGCTTACAAGATATGGGCGGAGGAAGTGACAAAAGTAAGTACTCCTAAGTGAATTGCTGATGTCCAGAGATAAATATTATTGCTTAATTCAACAGTCAGTGGTGTCATAGCAAAATGATAAACAATTACCAAAGAACTCCAAACATAGATATATGAACTCCATGACACAAGATAATTCTGATTTTTTGCATAGGATAAATACTTATTGTATCTAGCTTATTGATTAATTTGTAAGCTTCAGTCTCCAATTCTGTATTTGAAAAGCATTCAGTACTACTCATTGGAACTACATAGTCTTGTTCAGGCTTTGATTGCTTTGAGAGTTTAAAATGGGGAGGGAATGGGACATGTAGACAACCTTACTGCCAATTTCCTCCCCAAATTATACCTTCCGTCAACTAATCTGAAACAAACATGTGCATTCATTTAAACATGAATACCTCTGTCGGGGTGATTTAAGACTACATAACATTGAATGAGAATATACTGTAGCTGTTTTTCAGAACCTAGCTCCTGAATTATTTTCAATATTTTTAGCTGAAAATGTTTTTTTTTTAAACCTATTTTATTAATATAGCTTTTACACTTGTAATAAGCTTGCTTCCATTGAAAAATGTAGTGCCTGGCTGTTTTGGAAGTGGTTGTTCAGTCCAATGAAGGACCACTACTTACTGAACCATGTGTTATATTTTGCCCACAGCATAAGTAAATTTGTGTTATCAATACTCTGAAAAGTTGTAATATGTTTTTCAGTCTGAACAGGAAGTACGGATAGCCCAAAGTGAGTTTGACCGGCAGGCAGAAATTACTCGACTTCTGTTGGAAGGGATCAACAGTACACATGTAAGTATAGGGTAAAAGGGAAAATAGTTTTGCTTAATTGTTAAGGGTAAGAAAATCAAAATCAATTAATTATACAGTAACGGACCACAGAGATGTCTTCGGACAGTGCTGGCTCTTTGGCTTTGAAACGGAGATGAGCACCGCCCCTTAGAGTCAGGAATAGCTAGCACACATGAGCGAGGGGAACCTTTACCTTTAACAATGACAATGGAAAATGCTGTCACTGCTATGCTAAGTTGATGTGGTCATGTGATACCATATTCTCACTATTTTAGCAGTGGAATTGCTAGTCCAAATTACTGCATTAACAAAGATTGCCCATATTAGTGGTTATCCTATGTTGTCTTAATTTGTAAAATTCATCAGTTTCATGGCTGATAAAGGTAATCCTTAAAACTTTAATTTCCCCGTATCTTCCAAATTAACATCCTTGTATTTTTAAATGATGGAAACATCCCAGTAATTTTGTTGTCATTAATATTTGTGTTTATTGCATCATAGGCACATCATCTTCGTTGTTTAAATGACTTTGTGGAAGCTCAGCTGACCTACTATGCACAATGTTATCAGTATATGTTGGACCTTCAGAAACAGCTTGGAAGGTAACAAAATAATCAAATCTATAGTTATGTGTCCTAACTAAAGAGGTAAAATAAATAGAATTGGCAGGTTTGAAAAAAAATCTTGCTTAGTGATTATTCAGATTTCATGATCATGCAAATCCTTGAGAATATCTTTCTGGAAAATTTCTGTTCACATAACATCAAAGATCAGGATTTGATCACCGTAGATAGGATTTAATTGCACACTTTTCCTCTAAAGAAAAGAGTAGGGTTTTTTGGTTTTGTATGACTAAGTAATCATCCAGGACAATTTGAATAAAATATTTTGTAACTTGTACAATTATGTTTTTAAAGTTATATTTTGTGGAAGCTTTTGTACATTGTGTTTTGTAATTCAAAAATTGAATTGCTTGTTTTTGGAAAATTATATTGGAAGATGAAACCACATTAAAATTGTTATTTGAAAGTGTTTACAACATTAGTTTTTATCTGTAATAATTAATTTTATGTTCATCCTTTATAGCTTTCCAGCTACGGTTCTTGCCAACAATAACCAGTCATCTTCAACCTGTATTCCAAGTAGTTCTTGTAGTAATACGTCCTCAGCTACTGTTACACCCTCACTAACTTCAATAAACAGTGCAGCAGCTTCTTCAAGCTTTGGTGAATTGAAGCCCTCAAGTGGTAGTCGAAAAGCCAGAGTACTTTATGATTATGATGCTGCAAACAGCAGTGAATTATCACTACTTGCAGATGAGGTAATCATTTGCTATTTTTAAATAAAAGCAAATATTTTATAAAAGTATGATAGATGTGCCTTTTGTCTTGGAACAATTGCAGTGTGATCTGGGTTTGAATGATATTACCATAAAGCCTTTGCCTTGCTCAGATTATTGGGTGATCTCTTTTTGCTCACTGGTGATTGCCCCCTCACTTTGCAGGTATACAGAGTTAGGGTTATATTGGTCTACCGTAGGTAACTGATAGATCCTGTGAAGTTTCAGGTGGACCTGGGTTTTTATGCCAAGGATCTGATAGGTGGTTAAACGTAGCCTTGGTTATTGCCTGGGATGGGCCTTCGTTGGATTGCTCCTATGTGGCCCCCTACTGTGCCTTTATCTGAAAGTGCTCCTTGTTTTTCTGAGGAACTTTGGGAGATTAAACGCTAGAACATTGTTGGAAAAGGACAGAGAGTGAAACTGACCAAGTATGAGTAAGACCCATATCTGGCATTCCATAATGGCAATAACGGGGGGCAAAACATGGTTATTTTTCTGCCCTTATTATTTCTGCAGATAGCCACCCAACATCTCTCTTTAAAGTGACATTTTTCTTGTTGGGGAAAGATGAGCCATTGAATTATTTGGAGGGTGGTATGAGGAATTGGTATCTGTCACGTAAAATCATTTAGATTCACTCAGAAGTAGACTCTTAACTGGATAAGTTTACCAAAGTAAAAGAAACAAAGATCTGTGTTGTTTTTCTGTTGTGCGTTTTTATGGTAACTTCTATGGAAATAGAAAGGGTCTTCATTCTCTTAACCTGTCCACTTGTTTATTAAATCCATGCTCCACTTGAATAGTGAACATGAGATGAGATGTGATATATCCTTGTGATAATTTCAGCTCCATTCAGAGGGAATGTTACCATTTGCATTGAAAGTAGCATGTTCCATCCTCAAGAAGCCTTTGCTGGATCCAACGGTCCTGGATAATTTTTCACCTGGTCTTTAGATTTTCTATGCTGGGGGACATTGTTTAGAAGTTAGTTAGGTTACAGCTTCAGAGGGCTTTGGCAGATATGGATTATCTAGAGGTCTTTCAGTTACATTTGAGACCAGGGCTTAATATTGCTATGGCATTGGTTGTGCTTGTGGATGGCATTTGGCAAAATCAGGGTGGAATAGTACAATGATTGTGGTTCTCCTTGATTTCCTGACAACTTTCTATACCATCAACCATGGGATCCTTCTTGATACCATGGAATGATTAGGAGTGGGAGGCTTAGCATCTGGTGGTTTTATCTCTGTGGTCAGGTCCAATTGTTGTTAGAAGATGTGTGAGAGAGATCAAGCCAGAGACCTTAATATATGAGGTGCCTTAGGACTTGATGTCCCTCTTGTTGGATGAGTTTATCCATCAGTTTGGTGTCCACTCATACATGTTAAGTAGAAGATGATGTCAAAATCTTAGGCTGTGTTGTTCTGGATGAAGAGGGACAGCTCAATCTCATCCTGACAAGACTTAAGTGGCTGTGGTATTTTGACTATCCTGATCTGAAGATGTTCTATCTAATGCCAGACAAAGTTAAATTTTCCCAGTCATGACTGATGTGCAGTTAAGGGGACCTTTGGATTCATGGCTCCTACATGAGGATCAGGTGGACACTGTGGCTAGGAAAAATTTTGTACAGATTCCTCTACCACAGTAGAGGCACCTATGCCTGGATTGGAAAATAACCAAAGCATGAGTGATTATCCTTGAGATAATCATTCGTGCTTTGGTTTCCACGTGGGGCAGCTTTGAAGACCCCACAAAAACTGCAGCTGGTTTGACATGTACTATAGCGGCACAAGCAGTTATGGGTATGCCATTTATGCCCATGTAACCCCTCTGCTTCATGAACTGGAATTGTACATGGTACAATTCAGTGTTTGTTTAATATCTATGAAGCTGTTCATAGCATGGGGCCTAGTTATCTGAGGTTTGTCTTCCATAATTACTGCCCCCCTAAATTATCTGGGAGAGTTGGAATGCTGTCCTCCCCTCAATTAAACAGTGTCATCTGGAATGATCCAGAAGTGGGTTTTCTGTCAGTTATCCAGAAGTGGGTTAACTGTCAGTTATGGTGAGATCATATTTATATGCAACTCTTACTTTCGATAATTGTCTAAAAGACATTGTTTTATTCTGTTTATGGTCAGAATTATGTCAGAGTAAGATGACTTACAGTTTACACATTTAAATGTTTTCTTTGTTGCTTCTAGGTGATAACAGTGTACAGTGTCCCTGGCATGGATTCAGACTGGTTGATGGGTGAACGAGGAAATCAGAAAGGCAAAGTGCCTATTACTTACTTAGAACTGTTAAACTGAGTGGTTGGCTTGTATAAAGACTGTCAGTTATGGTGAGATCATATTTATATGCAATTTAACTTTATATAAACCAGATTTAAGTGTCTTCCATGTTAATGTCTTAATGGATGAGAGTAACGAGCATTAGAAATGGGCATTTCTTGCCGATATTGTTGCATGGTAGATACTGTTTTGAGAACTAAGTTGTTTAAGGGCTTTTTACTTTATGTGCCAAGATTGTTTCCTACATAACTTTGTTTCTATTGGAATTTTCACTAATAACAGTTTTCTGCTTTTGAGTACTGTGAACCTGAAAGCAGGGAAAACAGTTTTCTACAGAACTTTTCATAATGACAAGCCTCTTCAAAATAATAAATTGTTGAAAAAATGTTGCCTTTTTTTCCTGGGTAGAATTGAGGTTTAAAGGTCTATCACTGCACTTTTGTGCAACAAAACCGTGGCCTTAAAGAAAAGTCTTCATAACATGGTAGTGTCGGAGTTGGTTACTACAGGGCAATGTTTATGGGATATCCTTTGCTTATTCTCCCACTTCTATACATTTAATTCTTTGCTCAGATTTAATAGCATTGCTTATTAATACAAGCATCTTGGTCAAATGTTGATTGGATTACAAATGTTACCACTGTTAGTCACCTTGAATACAAAAGGAAAGGGATAATCCCAAGGTAATCAGAATTGGGAAGTCTTTTGTGAACTTGCCTCTGGGTAACACAGTAATTCATCTAGGCAGTCTTAAGTTTGCAGTCATTTATCATTATAATTTGCAATTGTACATTTCATTTTTCCTGTGAAACGTTTTTCTTTTTTGTAACTGAAACCATAACAGCCTTTTTCCAATCTGCCACAGATTGGAACACACCAGAAATAAATTCCCAGTTTCACAATGCCTCTATCTTCTTTCATGTTATCATTGTAACTGAGGGTCTTCTTAAGTCATAAACACACTTGAGAGATTGATGACACATCAGAAGCCAATTCTGAACAGGCAGCTCCTAATCAGCTGAAGATTGACAAAGTAATGACTGCCAGGAAAGAAACTGTGAGTATTTCAACCCTCCAGAATTAAGCAGCATACCTAAAGCATTTGTAACTCAGGAATGCATGCTTCCCTCTCTTAACATTAAGTCACTCTCTGAGGAAGGTATCAGCAGAGTTATAGCTGGAGAAATCATTCTGAAACGAGATCCTGGGATTTCATGCCACAATAAATAAGACACCAAGTGAAGACGCTGTATTTTCACCATGTTTGCATTCAGCCCATACCATAATACCTATATTTTAAAAACTCAGTTACTGAACATAAAACGGATATTAAGACGTTTCTTATGTAGCTTGTCAAAATGTAATCAGTGGACTTTTTATCTGAAAATAGTTTGGGTTTCTAGCTCCAGAAGAGGCTTTTCCTTACCTTCAGATTACAACTTGGCTGAAAAATGCCACAGTGTATTAAAGCTTTCTTGGCCAACTTCCTTATTATCCCCATAGGAGTTTTTAAAGATTCAGCTTTATAATTGTTTCCCCAAAGCTGAACAAATAAGGGGAAGCTTGCTTCTATTAGCTTAGTGAGCAAGTCTTGTCTTATCTATAAGTTACATGCTCATATGCTTTCTCTTTTTATTTTACTTTGGAGGAGCAGCTGTTTAGCTTGATCTTTAAAAACTCCTATGGGGATAATAAGGAAGTTGCCCAAGAAAGCTTTAATACACTGTGGCATTTTTCAGCCAAGTTGTAACCTGAATGTAAGGAAAATCCTCTTCTGGAGCTAGAAACCCAAACTATTTTCAGATAAAAAGTCCACTGATTACATTTTGACAAGCTACATAAGAAACGTCTTAATATCCGTTTTATGTTCAGTAACTGAGTTTTTAAAATATAGGTATT